CCGTTGCCATAATGTACTGTAATGAGTGAAAGATTTGGAAAAACTATTTATGAGTGGTCATTAATTTTGCTCGAAATTAAAGCATAGACGTTTTGGCAGTTTTTGCGCTCAATTGTGACCAGGCGTCGGTGCAAAAACTTGCGAGAATACGGCTTGAAAAAGCGGCGCCTTGAGAACACCTTTATTCCACTGGTTCTACTTCCTTGCTTCGAGCAATTTTGCCAAAAATTATCCTCCCGCCTCTCTTCTTTCGTTAAGTTTCGGTTATTACCGAATTTAAACATTCGCCCATTCCAACCAGCTTGTATACATTACTTTTGTGCTCTTTATATGGGTGTGAGGCAATGAGATTGCGAGACTGTCGCTGCGTGTCCTCCGACAAATATTTTGCGCTTTCTAAGTTCAAGTCCTAGTACTATAACGACATGTTGCTCATTTCTAACAAATTCAGGCCATGTACGAAAGGACTATGCTCCAGCTTAGGGAAAGCAAGAAAGGACTATCTTCCAGCCCTAGTGAAAAATTTCCTACAGGTGAAAGGACGAAACAAAGAGAACCCGTGGCTTCGCTAGACCAAAATGCACAAAATAAACACCACACGAACAAGTCGATAAAACAAGCAGTTCACGCAAAGAAAAACTTTGACATGATCGTCTGGTCCAGCTGTCGCTATCGTCGCAGCGCGCAAGCGCAGAATTTTTTTCTGCCTCCGGGTGACCTCAGTAACTTGACTTTGGTAAAATCGTTGTCGTCGTCGACAATCAGGCTAAAATGAGTTTCTGATTCATCTGCACTATTTGTCGCTGATGCGCATTAAATTTCGAAATATCAAACTTGCATGTGAGTCAAGTCACTTAACAAAATCATAGATTCAACCACAAGCGGCGCCGCGCTTCTGTGAATGACGACGCCTGAACGAACATTTAGACGCTTCCGAGACTTCTCTATACTCGTTTTTTATGCTCTTTTATATTCTTGTACGTCAAAGTGGCCCGTGATGTAAATGAACCGATCGGCAACTGTTTTTGCGGAAGTGAAAATTTTAACTTTTCTTACTGCAGCGGCGCAACACCGCTACGTTAAGCGATAGACACTTTCAGCTGAGTTATGACGAGTCTTGAAGGTGTCAGGTGATACACCAGTCGGGGTAACAGAAATGAGTGTCCCGTTGAAAAATTAGCAATGAAACTAAGGTAACAAATATCACCCGTCTGAACGAAAACAGTGACGACGGCGTCGACAACACAAGTATCAAGTTTGCGATATTTATAGAACGACTGGCGATGATGACTTCTGCTGAAACAGAGGGCAATTTTTTCATGCATATTATCACCGAATCACGTGATCCGTTTTCCTAGAATGAGCCGAGGAAATTAAGTTCAATTTATGTCGCTCTTGTTAACTTCAACGATGTTCGCTGTATCGACTCGTGACTCATCAAACACTGGTTTGACCTTCACGAATATTGCGCCATGCGCCGCCACAGCAGTCAGTTCGAGACGAAATATTCATAGCTATTCTGTTAAATATTTGGTGGCGTAAGACAGATGGCTCTCGCGCAAAATTTCTAGAAACACGAAGCCGCCCCCTAATCAGTTAGTCCATTTTCGTTAACGATGCTCGAATCTCGAATCATACCTTGTGAATGAAAGCACGAGTTCAGCACCGGTGCATATTTCCTTTGAAAATCATCTAGTGAGAGACTCTACCGTACAGTGGATATATTTCAGACCTATCGAACGTCTGTTTTGTAGTTTGCGGACTATATGCAAATGAAGCCACAAAATCAAGTGACATCAGCCGTATTCATAAAACTTATCATGAAATGCAAGTTTGTCAAATATTTGTTCAAGATCAAGAGCCACTTGCTGTCAAATGAACCGTCCGATATGCCACCACAGACTCGTACATGGATATCACTGAAACCACATCAACATTCCATTGCTTTTCAAAAGAAAGGGTACCTTAAGAAACGGGCTCAGTCATTTCTCGGAAACCACTGAAGTGGATGTCGCAGGCCTCAGTTACAACCCTAGAAGGATCAGAAACGCCACTGGAACTGATCTGCCTACGAATGGCAGTATATCGCTTTTGTCCGGTCGGCCTGTCAGGAACAAACGGTGATAGCGGAAACAGGAGCCGTCGCTGTGGTGCTTTAGTTTCTGCTTGGTAGCTCAGCCGGCAAATATTGCAGCGTCGACTTAGTTTCTGTTTAGTT